ACTCTGCTATTGTATTGTATTGTATTGTATTGTATTGTATTGTATTGTATTGTATTGTATTGTATTGTATTGTATTGTATTGTATTGTATTGTAAGGGTGTCAAACACGTGGCCCATGGGCCATGCCCACTCCTCGGTTTACCAAAGGGAGAAAAAGTCGTGATATCTCATGTGAAGACAATGTGATATCGCAAATGTGATCCCCCTGGTATAGAGGGATGAAATTTCAAAGCTCCAAATGCCTTTGAGTGAGCTGCTTGAAACCATGCTTAACAAAAGTAGTGTTTGAAGCCAGAACTAAACTTAGAGTTGATTCTTTTTGTTTTGTTTTACATTTCAAATTAATTAAAATAAAATATGTGTCAGCCCTACAAGGTAGACCATATCACAGAACAGACACCACATCGGCCTAATTTTACTTTTATTATAGTGGCTATATTAACACAGTCTTGCAAATCTAAATGTGCTTCCCTTCCTCCCTCTTTTATTTTCATGTTAACTGGGAGAAAGTGCCTCTTTGAGATGTTTTCATAAATTCGTCTCTTTGTGTGGGCTTAAGCCACATTTATCTGATCATTGCCTTGTCAAGATCATCCTCTAAACTCTCCACAATATGGTTAGTACTCTCTGCTCCTAAATGGAATACTTTTCTCTGTTCTCAGTGCACCTGGAGGTGGTAGGTATAAAAACATCAAAATAGAAACCTTGACTGTGGAATTGAGGTTACCATCTTAAATGTTTAAAGTGTCTCACTCTCCACTGAAAGCTAATACTTGTGTCATGTTAAAAATATACTGTAATTTGGTAACAACCTTTGAAATTTGTCAAGCCTCCATTAAAGTCTTTTGGAGCATTCACAAAGTTTTTGTGCTTCAGGCTTCATGCCTCCTTTTTTGCACTTAATTCTGACATAGACTAGAGCGGAACAGAGTCATAAACTTTTCTCCACTACTCCTCCTTTTAGTGTAATCTTAATGTACATACCTTCCCTAAAAAATCCAAACAACAAGATGAATACAAATCAACAATGGAAACAATATAAGGGAAAGGTGGATTTTTTTTGTAACAATATAATGAACTGTAAAAAGTTCTTCACACTTCCCCTGGATGTTTATTAGTTTATTGAGATTAGTTTATTGGTATGTGTGTGTCTCTCTCCCCCAACACACACACCAGTTTTTTAACTCTTTATTTGCCCTTCATTATTTTGAGTTGAGCATTTTTATGTTCTGCTAAGTTCAGAAGACTTTGGCCTTTTAGCAAATACTCATTAGAAAGCCCAGGCTTTGTTTAATCATTATCCAACCTTGTATTCAGAACAGTGCTGTAAATATTCAAACAGAAAGAACACAAAATTCCAGTAAGATGTTTCATTTCCTAGTTACTCCTTAAAGTTAACCCTTTTAGTTTCAGCATGTCTGCTGCTTATTAGTCCCTTTCCACCACCTGTAGCTGACAGTAGAATGTTGTACTGATTTGCACTTCACTGATTTCCTGAATCACTTCAGATGAGCATAGGCCAAGATATGAACAAAACAGTAGATCACATCCATGTAATCCTTTCTTATGAACTGTGGTTAAAGTTGAAGGTTCCTAGCGAATTACATTCACTCTGAAACAGGAATCTAATACTAGAATAACACTAAGATAACAATACCAATTTAACAGAGATCCCATTTGGTGTAGTAATACAGCAGTACCCTGCTTCCCTGAAAATAAGACCACCTCGGATAATAAGTCGAATGGGACTTTTGAGAGCATGAGCTGAAATCTGCCCTCCCCTGAAAATAAGCCCTCCCTGAAAATATTACAACACAGCAGCAGCCATGAGGTGACCATGCTCGCTGCCTCCTGCACTCAAAAATAATAAGACCTCCCCAAAAATAAGGCCAAAGGCTTATTTCGGGGGTCAAAAGAAAATAAGACACTGTCTTGCTTTTGGGAAAACATGGTAGTATGTACAATGGTAATTAGAATGCTGGCCTAGAAAACAGGAGATTGTGAATTCTAAGCCTTCTTTGGACATGAAAGAGGGCTGGGCGACTTTGGGCCACTTTTACTCCCAGCATCTGGAAGTTGTTATTGTAAGGAAAACAGGAGGTAGGAATATTCATTAGGTTTTCTGCCTTGAGTTATATATATTAAAAGGTGGGATAAAAATCTAAACATCATCCTCATTATTATCATAATAGTGTATGTGAGTTCTTATTTTATAACTTTGTGTCTGTCATATTGCCTTTCCATACTCAGCCTACAAAAGGGGGGGGGGATTACTTCTTTATATTTCTTTTCTTTTTCTTTGCTATAGTTTTTTTTTTAGTTTTCTTTGTATATTACTGTTTTCCCCTTTTTTCCACTTTCATTTTTTTCTTTTCCTTTTTTAAATATAATTTGCATTAGTTCTTAATCTGTGAACTCTAAGTTTAATACAACTATTATAAAAAACAGAATGAAACCACCTTAGAACTCAATAAAACCTTAGAGTTATGAGAAGGCATTTTTACTTCTAGCAGAGAATAACGACAACATCTAGCCACAATAATTAATTGATTGCAGGGAAAGTAAAACTAATTATAAAGGAGTGTGACTTCTATACTTCCTGTATGGTGGAGGAGCATATTCTTTATTTTTCTAGTTAACTTTGGAACAAGCCTTATAATTCTGGGACTTTCTTATGGGCTTCTATTTTAGTATTAACCATGCTTAACCAAACATAACTTTTGGGAATCAACCAAAGTTGAATTGAAGCTGTCATTTGGTATAATTTTAGGGGAATATCCATGTTGATCATTTGGATTTACCAAAACGTATGGGCCATTTTGTTTCATGGGGGAACTGAGGCATAATATATGCAATAAGAGTCTGAGAGGGTTGGTCTCTGATGTGGGTCAATTGGATTTGGGTGAAGCTGAAACGTACTGCTACTAAGTAACTCTGAGTTTACTTAGTGACATAAGAAATGCAAGGTTGATTCATCTCTAATTTAGATGTTGAAAGAATAGCAGGCGCACCAACTGCTATTTTGTGGGATAATTCAAGAGTAAGTTTCAAGTTGTAGAGTGACAAATAGACTTTTTCTCTGAGGCTACATTGTGGCAGAAGCCCGTTTCACCATTCCAAGCTATTAAGAGACATTTCAACTATCAGTGATATTAGCTGAAGTTTAAAACATGTAGCAGGGAAAGTGGGCATCTAAAATGATCCCAGATTGCCTTTTCATAACGATTGAATCTATATCCTCAGGCTTAGAGTCACAGGATGAACTATAAACTTGCTACTAATGTTGACTATAAACTAGAAGTAACCTTAAAATGGTAGGTAATTCATCTCCCAGCCAATTTGGCCATCATCTCTGTAATCTGTCTGCCTCACCTATTTCCTCTTTGTTGTTTCTTATCCTGACAAAACACCCTCAACTCATTTCAACCTTCCTTCATACTATTATTAATGCATTTGTTTTAACAGTATATATTCTTATTGTCATTATAGTTGGCTACACAGTCAGCCAAATGTTTAGACAGGATTTGGCACTTTTATCCACCTAGGAGTCCTCCCAAGGACCTGGGACAGGCAGGTTGTGGTTTAATGGTGTGTTAAAAGTATCATCACAGGATGTAAATTGTTCCAAATAAAGCTGCGTTTTGCAAGTGACTGATGGTAATTTTTGTCAATGTAGATAGCATTTAAATGGTATTCTAGATATTTTGGAATTGCGTGCAAGGCACCTATTCGTAGTAGTACTATCTTTTGCCACAATCGTTCTATTTCTATCTCCAGGTCTTTGTGTTGTTATTTTTCTCCAGTTCTTTGATTCTGCTCTCTTCAGGTACTACAGCATTCTCTATTCAGACTTTATGTCTTTATTACCAACAGTTGTTAAGTCTCGAGCATTATGTGCCTGATGCTTATTATTATTGCTGTAGTATTAATAAATAAAAATTATAAACTTAGTTTGCTGGTTTTAAAAAATGAGGAAGTTGAAATCCTAACTATCTGCAAGGTGTGGTTTGAGTTTTGCAATAGTTTAAACAAAAATGTTGCCAGTGGTGCTTGTCTTATAACTGCATTGAAAGCCAGGGCTGTCAATGACAGTCCACACCATTGTTCTTGTAAATACCATTTGCTTAAATATACCATGGGCCAGGACAAAAGAAGTGCATACTTCAAATGGATTAAAGGATATGGATATACCTAAACTGAATGATCTCTTTGCCTTGATTAGTATATCCAAACCATGACATACATTTTTGAAATGTTCAGATTTCAAAAACTATTTAATAAATGACACTAGAGAACGGTAACTTGAAAAATGCTACCCTAGAGTTTCTTGAACTCGTAGAAATAATTGCATAATTTATTGGATTCTGTCCAAAATATTGTTGTACGCCATCCAATGTCACTTTCTATGAGATGGGTAATAATTTGATTAATGAATGGATGAATAAATATCCTTAACCTTCTTATTTGAATGGCTATAGAGACACATTATCAGGTAGACTTTTTACTGGTAGATTACAAGTCAAGATGAAATGAAACATGTTATTTCTGCATTTTCTAGATTGGTTCCATAATTATGTGTGTGGATGCTTCCTGAAGTTTCCCTAGTTATAAAATTTGGGGAAAGTTTAAAAGATTGCACTTTGGAATTCCACTAATATGAGTTAGCAATGTAGCAGAGTTGATTTATGAACTGAATTTGCATTTTCACTATAGTTTAAATAATATTTATCTTGTTCTTGAGCAATGATATAAACAATAAGTAATTTACAAATATTGCAGGAAAAATATTTTGGAATATTTAGAAAAATATTTTAAAAATGGAATAAGTAATAGTAAAGTTTGTCTCTCTGTGTGTGTTTATGTGTATGTATCTGTGTGTGTGGGGGTTGCATGCATGCATCTGTGCATGTGTGTATTAATTAGATTTGTCTACTGAGGCATTTATGTTTACCACTTTTATAGAATGTTAATGTCTTTCAACCTTTTTAGAATGCTCAAGAAGCACATGGGGTAGCTGTACCAACACCATCTGTTCCAGACAGCTTTGAGGACAAGCTACCAGCAGGTAAAATGATAATTGAGATGGGTGCTCACCATATCTATTATCTGCATATCATTAGCTATCATTCATTATCTTATTTGACAGTGAAATCATAAATTTTGCTTTGGCATCAGTATATCATCTTGCAATGTTAGCACAATGTAGTTTTTTGTGATGTTTCTGAACTTTTGTGAAACTGTATAATCTATCATTCACACTGAGGACTGAAACAAAAGGCAACATATTTAGATGTTGACCACATTTTATGGAAAGGGTCTTTAGCTGGCATAAGGAAGAAAACCATCTATCAGGAGAATAGAAAGATCATTTCTGATTTCAGGGTCTATTATTCCTCTTAAGGTAAGTCAACCATGTGGTGGCTATAGACATTATGGCAACTATGATTGTTTTTAAGTAGTGACCATGAAAAAGCATTTTTTTAAAAGTAATTGTTTTCAGCTTACTGTTGTTTTTCGTTTGGTACTGCTTTTATTGCTTCTATTTATGCTGTCTTGTTGTAGTTTTAGATGATACCATGGATGTTGTAAATCGTTCTTCTATAGTTTATACAGTGGCATGCTGGAAAACATTGAAGACCTGGCTCCATTGCCACCTCTGTCCAGGTAGTCACAGAACATGTGGCTACCTCGACAGAGGCATGTGGCTCATCTTTGCTCTCATCCAGTTTGCAAAATTCCAGAAAATTTATCAGCTTTTGTGAACTCCCTTCAGCACACTACTGAGTCTGCAAGCCACCAAAAGTGAGAGCGAGACCTGAAGCTTTGCAGAAGTTTACATGGATATTTCAAATTGTTCTTTTACAGTCTATATAGTAGCATGCTGGTAAATGTTGAAGAAGTGCCTCCATTGCTGCCTTTGCCCTGAAGCAGATGGAAGGATCTTAGGCTAGGAGAGGGAGGGAAGCGTAGAGAAGGTCAATGCATTGGTTTATTGATGGTAGTGGTGACAGCATGGAATGTTTTGATGGGAGACAGAGGGAGGTCCATTTGTGGGGAAGGCCTTCCTCGTGTTTAGTACTGATGGTGGGTTCTAGCCATCTGAGTTCTAGCCCAGGCCTGGTCAGTAGACTTACAGAAGCCTGGATTTTTTACTGTTGCTGCTTAATACCAGATTGAGTAATAATAACGCTTCCTTAGTTGTGATCTTATCAGGGAGGAGTAGGACAACTTGGCAGGTGTTACTGAAACCTGGCCGAGGCCTTAAGGGGGGAGTTCCCGTTTCTGAAATGTGTCCAGCTGGGTTCAGAGTATGGCACCAGGCAGGGGAAGAGGGAAAATAGTTGTCATTTTCTGTTGGTGTTCGGAGATGCTGTTGCCCCAAGTTGCCAGATGTTAGACCCTATATATATATATTGCAAATATGCTTGGGAGATCATTGGGATTATTTTGTTATTGTGCCAGCCTCCCTGGGGCAGAGCAATTCCCCTACATAAATAAATAATCTGTATATTTAATTACTAAGTGACATTATCTGCTTAAAAAAGAATTGATTGGGTTTGAGTCAAAAAGGATCTGAATATCAGTGTTTCGATTGATATCCTAGCCTTTGGCAGTTTTAATCAATCAAGAAGAATTCTACTACCTATATTCCATAACAGATAATAGCTAACAACCTACTAGATTTTTTAAAAAAATCTGAATTTAAATTTAGTGACAAATATGCAGCACAACAATGCTCAGTTAAGCTTGGCATACCTATTGCACAAGATGCTAGTCATTTAAAGAAATGTTAACCATTACCATTCCCTTTATAGTTAAGTACAATCTTCCTCTAGCCAGAAGCTTTTAGTTGCATGAAGCTTACAAAACTGCTTCTCTGTCATATTTATTTTTGCTTGTCTGTTTGATTGATCACATGACATCAAATCAGTGTCAACTCTTAATTACCATAAAGTTACTTGATCACATTTTCTTTAAATGAGCCTTTAATGCAGAGCCATTATCCATGCATTTGGGATATAAGTTTTGTTCAACAAATCTATAGGGCATAAGGAAGATCCCTTTAAAGACAACCAAGATTTTTAATGTGCTGTCTGATAACATTTCAATACCCCCACATTCTGTTATCCTATTTGTTTTTAAATAAACACTTACTATTTATTTTTAAGATTATGAACTCCCTTTTAGTTTTTTGGCCTTCCTATTCTGAGACCTTTCAAAACATTTACTACAAATGGAAAATATTTAGCATTGCTAGCAGGAAGGCTTGGCACAGAGTTGAGGGGAGCTATCATTAACTTAAATCAGTCTCTTAAAAGCAAGTTCAGCTAGTTTTTGTAGTCAGGTAGCCATGGCAATTAGCAAACTTTTTAAAACATATACAGTTACTTCCTTGTTAATGAGCAGATCTACTTTGCCATGGTTACTGTTTGCTGAGAATCAGAAAAAAATGTATTTTGTTTGTTCTTCTTTATAACAACTCCTTATAGGCTTTCCAGCCTCTAAAGCTCTATTATCTGTGCCATCTCTGGAAGGAACATTTCCTGGATACCAAATAAGTGGTATACAACAGCTTCTAAAATTAATTATGCTGTTCTTTTTACATATTTTTTGTAGATCATTCAAACAGCACTAAATGTCCCATTTACATTGGTAGACTAATATATCTGACTTGTTTTGCCACTGAACTGAACTGATCTGAATTGATTTGGGGCTATATTGTATACCTTTTCTGTTGTGGGGGGTCCTTTTCTTATTTTTCTTTCTCTCCTCAAAACTAATGTTATCTTATTAGCCCAGAAAGATTTTTACACGGGACCAAATCCTTTTATCATTGGCACATTGCTTTGCTTCTCTCTCTCTCTCTCCCTCCCTCCCTCCCTCCCTCCCCCCACCCCGTGACTTGGAATGTACAGAAGATAGAGAAGAGCGCACATTGTTAACATTTATTTTTATTTAGAACGTAATATTACAGAAAGAAATTGAACTAATTTTAATTAAATGATTTAAACCAGATTCTCTTAACAGCATAATTTCTGTAGGCTGTTAATCTTTGGTTTTTCTGGCACTACAGATACAGGCTCACTCTGACAGGATCACATATTAGTAATAAAAAACATGCAAGCTGATTGAAAGAGTGCTATTTGTGTCTCTGGTGGGTTGCTATTCCAGAGGACAGGGACCAGTTCAGAGAAGCTTCCTCAGCTGCATAAGAGGACAATGTTTAATAGAAGGCCCCAAGAGCATACCCATTCTGCTAGAACGTATCAGGTGGGAAGAAACAGTTGGAGATAGATAGTTCTTCTGTTATCTAGATCCTATGCCATAAATGACTTTATAAGTAATAACCAATACTTTGAATTGCACCCAGAAGCCACCTGGCAACAAATGCAACATTTTTAAAAGTGATGACACATTAGCATGCTGAAAGGCTGATATTATTGTTTGCACTGCTGCAGTTTGTACTAATAGCTTCCAGATGGCCTCCAAGGTCAGCTCTACGAACATTGCAATAATCTGGATGTGGAGACTCCAAGCTCTCCTCAGACCCATCCGTCTAACTCAATGTCCCCCTTTTTAGTACTGTCCTTCTAGTAGAATATAAATGGGGTAGATGTCTTCTATTACCACACTTTGAGGGATTCTTCTAATACTTAATTATTATAAGCTATTAAAACACTGTTTAGGCAGATGGGGGAACTGAACATTTCTCCCACCTATACTATCATCCCTGTTGTTATGAAATCCTACCAATGAAATTATCCTCATCTTCCATAGAAAAGAAGTATTTTTGAGAGGGGAAGATGCATTTCCATATCATCTCTCTGATTTATATGATTATATTGAGTTGCATTAATATCTGTGGTGTATCCTTTAAAGCAAAGTTGAGCATGATGTTTAATTTCATGTACATGTACAATATATAAATAATGTATATTATTTAATAAAAATAATCTGGGAGGAAAAACATGATTATTAACCCATCGGAAGCAGGGGATAAACTTAAACTTTCCTTCCTGCTGCTATTCAGAATAAATTGTGTCATCTGTTGGGCTTTTTATCTGTAAGCACAAACTATTGCTTCCCATGGGAGCAGAAGCTCTTTGCTTTTAGCATGGCTCTTATGCAATGGCAGCTTCCCCAACATAAAGTTCTACAGATGTTTAGGGATGCAACTCAAAGTTCACCACTCATAATGTCCTCCAGCCATGTTGGGATTTTGCCTTCTACATTTTGCAATCCTGATTCATTTGGAGGAAGACAGGTTACAGAAATCTACTCTCCTGCATCAAAAAGAACAGATTAAATTACAAATTATAGACATGTCTCCTATTACAGGAATAGACCTTTTTATTGTTCAATAGAGATTCCAGTCACCATGCCACCACACTGCTCTCTTAAGTATGATAGAAACATTTGATGTGGTTGCCGTAGTAGTGATTATGTCCTTTCATAATTTGCCTCTTATGGCCCAAATGAACTTCCCCTAAAGAACTTCCCACTTGTTAAATTAGAAAAAGCATTGGTGACTGAAACTTCCATTTCCATTATAAAAACATCACTTAATTTACTGCAGCATCTTAAAGAAAATCAATTGAAAACCAAAAATTGAAGGCATTATAAATGGATTTGTACTTGTTGTTTTTCTGAGTTTTCACCACCGGGGCCGGAGGAGGAGCTATTTTCTCTTATTCCCTTCAAGACCTTTTGAATGTATTTCTCAATATGGTCCAACAGAAAATATTCACTTAGATAAATTTACTCTTTCAGATGTAAAATGAGAGCAATGCAATATATTTATATATGTATGTACGTATTTCTTCCTAGGTTCACAAATCAATGGCAGTTATAGAAAGTACAATTCAGTCATTGACCTGAGGACAAAGCCATTTGGGGATGATTATTTGGATGATGACTACATTCCACCACCACCTTCAATTCCTCCTCCTTCACCACCACCACTTTCAGTTGATTTACCACCAGTTTCACCTTCTGTGGTAGTTCTACCTCCACCACCAATGACTCCTCCACCTCCACCACCAATGACTCCTCCACCTCCACCACCAATGACTCCTCCACCTCCACCTCCACCAGCATTGCCAGCTCCATGTCTTTCAACTCTGGCGCCATCTTCATTCCCATATTCCGATGTGTCTTCTCCCAGTACTCCAACTCCACCAGACTTCATTCCTCCTCCCCCTCCTCCCCCACTTCCTCCTCCAGAGTTTATGGATACTGCAGTATCTTCTATTCCTCCAGTTTCATTACCAGTTCATACACAATTCTTCTCAAATGGTGTGTCTAAATGGAAATCAGAGACTTCTCTCAATTCTCCAGCAATACCTATTCACAAGGAGACACAGTTACCGCAATCCAGCCCAGAGGCTCATCTCACTTTCCCCAAATTATTAAAAGTACCCCCTCCAACTCCCATGAGAACATCATCTATTTCCTCAGGAGAAAAAGACTTTAGTTCCAAAGAATATTTTCCTACAATGGCACCAGACAGTCACACTCCTCTGTTACCTACTGTACAATCTTCTACCATAGTTTACTCAGAGGCAGAAGCTGGGGCCAAAACTACTATGGAAAAGCATTCTGCTTTAGTCACAGTATCTGAAACATCAGATTCCAAAAGTCGCCCACGGAAGAAAAAACAGAATTTATCTTGGTCCACCGAAGAAAGAACAGAATTTTCATCTCCAGATCATGCATCGTCTGATGATGATATCTGGAAAGAACGTTGCAATTTAGATAAGTTGAAGAATGAACTGTCAACCCTACTGTCCTCAACTTGCAGAAAGGATGACCGGCCAATGGAAAGAATTACAGTTTCTAAAGCTAAAGGCACAGATATTGATAGCAACAATATTACTACAGATGAATTAAAACTAGTTAAGCATGATGTGAAAAAAATACATTTATCACAAGGAGCGGAGAATGAGAAGAAAGAAAAGAAATGTGCCAATAATCCTCCAGCCAAATCTTCCACCAAAGATGCTTTCTCAACTACAGACACTCAAGCAAATTGTGCTATGAAACTGAAAGAGGAGTTGGAAGCTTTATTGTCTCCAGTCAAGGAAGGAGGCCCACCTTTGGCACTTGCAAACCTGAGACATAATCCAGAAAAAAGAAAACAAGTTACTCTTCAGTTTTCCAGCAATAAGGTCAATAATGGTGAGTTAAAATTTTCAACAGGAAAACTGGAAGGTACAGAGAAGGAACCAACAATGCCTAGTGATTCTGTCCACACATCCAAGTCACCAGTTCCATCTTTAAAACCCAAAAGTGAACTTTTGGCTCCAGCTACATCTTCCTCTCCTAATTCTGAGGCTACCTTAGTCACACAAAGTGCTTCTCCTACTAAGGATCTCTCTGTGCAATATAAGACTCATAGGTCAAGATTGGAAACTGTTGACAGCCTTGTCTCTGCAATGACTTCCCAAGCTACATATGATGGACTCAGCAGCCCAAGTAATAATGAAAATCAAAGATATTCTACTGGAAACATGCCCTCAACATCCAAATTATCTAGGAATGCAGAGCAATTGAGCAGTGATAGTCTGTTTCATCCTGTTACAGGAGAAAAAGTAGAGAAAGGCTCTCCAATGGCTCTTCTTCTGGCTGCACAATTGCGAGCCAATAGAGTCAAGTCTTCTGTTCCTGCCTCTCAAAATAATAGTTCTGTTTTGGAGAAAACTCAGCTCAAGTTGAACAATAGCTGCCAATCAGAGAATGGGTTATCCAGCATTTATTACAGCAATTCAAAACCCAACACTATCAAGGTGGTCCCAAAGTCCCCACACAATGACTTATTGGCAGTCTCTGAAAGTAAGCAATGTAATGGAGCAAGTGCATCCAACAACAATATCAGGAGTTTGTCAGGACAAACTGAAAATATGCCACAAATATTCTCCAATGCTACCGAACAATGCAGGAGCACAGTGAAATTCAGGGAGATAAATGAGTCTCCGAGTCTTTCATCAAATAAGTGTGGTTCTTCTATTTTGCTTCAAAACTCAAACTCAAGTCACTTGAAGCAGCAAGGTCCACAGAGTGCATCCGAAAGTCCCTTTCATTTTTTCTCTCCACCCCAAAACCATACAGTTAAAAATGATCAGGTGGAGGAAGGATTCAATTATGAAATAATTCCTCCACCACCAGAGTTCAGCAACGATACCTCTGAAATCCCAAAGTTTTCTTCAGATACTCAGGTCTCAGATATGCAACCTAACTTCAACAACTCAAGCTACAACTATGGCAATAGTTACCCTCTGACATCAGCAGTCCAAAGGCCAAATGACTATAGTCACCCTTATCCAGCTGGTAGCTATACCTCCAATTACCTTAGTAGCTGTCCCAATAGCCGCCCCCTAATTAAAAAACGCCTTTATTTATCAGAGACTGATGATTTATATAGTAGGACAGCTATGTCTGCTCGCAGTATGAGCACACCTAACTCCTATGGCTACAACTCTTCAGCTATGGAAGGGATTCATCGAGCAAATTATCCTCACAGAAATGTTCCCAATAGTACACAGGGTCGAAGGGTATCCTTGGAATTGCCTGGAAAAATTATAACTTACAATACTTCTGTCAATGATGCCCAGTCTAAAAGCCAAAATGGAGACTATTCCGCCAATGCCTCTGGCAGGTATGTTTCATTTGTCATAAATATAGGAGTTGTAATGTGAGTAGGAACTGCATGGAAATATTTTGGCCAGAAGTCAGCATGTAGGTTGACATTCTGCAGTTACTTTTGTCCAGTATAATGTAAGCAATCTGTTCCCCCACCTCTTTTTTTAGAGTTACAATGCTCTAGGTAGAGTATTTTCCATTTAAGTTATTATTCAGTCAGGTGAACAGATGAATAATACCGCTTCAGCCAAATGCCTGATTCTTCCACACTTGTTCCTACTGCTAAGATCACTTCAAATTATATTTATAGAGAAGGCATGGGTACCAAGAAACTTATATAATTCAACAGAATTATTGTTTCCAGGTACTTTAATTATTTTTGAAACAGAAGCAAAAATATTAAAACCATCCAGATTATTATTTATATTGGTAAGATAAACTTGTTAGAATTTAGCTTAGAAAGCGATTATGCCTCCCCCCAAAAATGTATTAAGTATTTCATATTCGCTGTTCATGTTTCTGGCAATCAAAGACTATCTCACTAACAAAATCTCAAACAATATTGATTTGAAAAGTTTCTTCATTTAACATTTTGATCTTGTACTTAGAATTAAATATACCTCTTAATTGAATCACAGGTCTTTATTTATTGCTAATAATTTCTATTGAGCTAATGATATTTTTTATATTTCTTCTGTTTAGGCCTTTCCACATTAGTCCACAATATGGAACTCTAAATACATTTACTGTCAGGCCTGGCACAAGACAACCCATTTCTTATTCCTACCAAGGCCTTCTTTAAGATCATTCTGTCAGAAGCTCTGCATCTATACACAGCTTGTTACTACTCAACCTGGACCTCATTCTTTGTTCTGTATTATAACTCGCCTCTGTAGGGCCTCTGTATCTTTTTGTAAACATATTAGTTTTAAGTTATTCAGACAATGTTATGAATGAGTCTTATGAAGCTATCTTGGTAACAAACCTCTTTGCATCATGTAAGAATAGCTATGTAAGTGTCTTCATTCTAGGGCACATTTGACTAATAGGTCAGAACAGGCATGGAGTAAATTTTACCTTACTACCTTACCGTCTTTACAAACATGCATTGGTCATTCAGAAAAAGCAAGTAAAGGAGGAAGAATGCAACAGAAAGGTGAAGCAAAGAACCTATGATCCAAGATGAAGAATGCAGTTCAGTAACCCACTCATGGCTGCTCTAGATCAGGCATGGCCTAAAAAGCCCGCTGTTAGCTAGAAGAAAATGGTACAGTTGTGGGAAAAGAAAGGAAGAGTTTAGAGGAATAAAGGATGAGCAAGAGAGAAAGATTAGAATTTTGTGATACTTGCAGTTTCAATAGTGCTAGCACAAAAGAAAATTGACAGGAAATTTTGTCTATGGAGATTCTCACTCATCCAGGTCATGGCTATCTCAAAGGTGTTTTTGAAGAAGTAACTGGACTGTCTGGTTTTTCTTTGAAGACTTTTTGCTTGTCATCCAGGAAGCTTCAGCTCTGAGCCTGTTTAAAAAGCACCTTCGGGATGACAAGAGCTTTTCTTAGCAGTGCATCTCTAAGTTGTACCCACTATTTTTTTGTTTATCACACCATTGTTAGAATCCTGAATAGAAAAAAAATGAGAAACCCAGAGGCCCTTGTCAAATATTCTTATATCTTGCAAAATATTTGAGACTGAACTGATAAAAATGATAGCCATTCTAGAGACACAAATTTAATTCTTGCAGTTCCCTTTAAAAACACACAGTTGGATTTAATTTGAGAGCCATTTTTAATTAAAAACGGTGCAATATTTAAATGGACCAAACAATATATAGCTGCTGGGATAACCTGGCAATTCATTGCTGCATTGTTTTAATTTTCAAGAATGCAATTGTTCTGTCTACAACCTTGTTTTTCTTATGGTTTCTTATTTTGGTTTAGGAGTTAAAAATATTTAATGGATATGAGAGGTGTTTAGTGCAACAGGTGCCGGCATTTACACAAATTAAACCAAATTATATCTCTGTAACTGAAGGGGAAAGCAATGCATGCTTAAAGGTCACCTTGGAAAATGTCAAATATGTTTGTTTGGAGATAAATCTTATTCAGTGGGATTTACTGCTTAAGTAGAAGAAAAGAGCTATAATCCATTTTGGCTTGTACTGGTTATACATGAGAATTACATGTAGTCTTTGAATTATAGCCATTTGTTGAGCAATTGTTCAAAATTACAGCACTGAAAAAGTGTCTTACAAATGATCCACACACTTGGGACTGTTGCAGCATCCCTACGGTCATGCGATCAAAATTCACCTGCTTGATCACTGGCGTGAGTTTAGGACGGTTGCAACATCCTGAGGTCATGTGATTGACATTTGCAACTTCTCCAGCTGATAAGCAAATCAATGGAAAAACTACCTGATTTGCTTAATGATCACATGATTCAACTTAACAACTTTAACAGTTAACAACCCTGGGCAAAAAGATCATACAATTAGTCACAGATCATTAAACAGCCACCTTGCTTAACAATAGAAATTCTGCTTCCAGTTATGGTTGTAATTAATGGGTTACCTATATTCCAATTGTCTATGGATTGAATTCTAGTTTTTAGAACTGAGTGAGAAAATGGGCTTCTCAAATTATTTCTGTAGATTTTGCAAAGGAACAAGATTATAGCCATTATTTCTATATATTTAATAGATAATTTAGTTTAAATTATGAAGCATTCACAAAAGAAACCTAAAACAAAATGGATTGATGACATCAGCAAGTATTGCGGGCCCAATTGGCAAAATAAAACTCAGGACCATATTGGTTGGAAACAGGCGGAAGAGGCCTTCATTCTGCAGTGGATAGACAATGGCTAAAATGATGATGACGATGACGATGACGACAACGACGACGATGATGTTATGAAATTATAAAGGATGTACATTCATGCTGAGTTTGCCTGGCAGCAGATTCATTTTTGGAAAAACATTTTGGCAGAATTATGGTGTAGTTTGAGTTCAATTTAAATCACTTATCAAAAGAGATGGTTATCTGTGCCCTAGGGAAGCTTCCCATTTAAAGCCATCAAATGTTTCCGAACATTTAAATCAAAAATGGCTGAAATAGGTGTCGTTTGCAAACCATCTTCTATGTTGTATTTATGCACTCTATTTACATATTACTTTATTTCTTGCTTGTATATATATATTTGTGAACCTAGAGTAAAACCACCTCTATCAAGAGTCAGAGTGAATCTACTTTAAACAAAAGATGGGTGGAATGAAAGGAAGTAAATTGTTAGTTATTTCATTTACGTTTTTTTTCCTTTGATTTTTTTTCTGTATTTTTACTGCCAGGATGGAAAGACATACTTCTGTGATTTTTCTGTCTCATGCATCAGAGGAACTACCCTGCCATGATTAAGTATCCATTTGTTGCTCTGCTTCAGGCAAGAGAACAACTTGTACTAGCCCTGATTATAACCTTTGATACTAAGATAAACTGATTGAAAAAAAAAGTTCTAACTCTCTTGTCTATAAGATCTAGGCGGCTTCTGACCTTCAGTAGAAGCAAGAGTATGTCCGCATGTCCAATAGTGAGAGATTCTGTTCAGGAAACTCCCCATGCCTGCATTATGTTTTAAAATAGACACATTGAAATTTCCAGTATGCAAATTATGTAGCATTTTCAGTAGTTCAGCATACATGAAATTGTCTTAGATTTTACCTATATTGATCATTCATATGATTAGCTTTGACCAAACTCAAAGAATTAATAATTTTGATTGATTGTAGCTCATTTTAGTAGGACACATAAAAGCCATTTAGAAAAAACAATAAGCAACATCTTTGTATTCTCAGCATCTTTTCAAAGTTCTGAAATTCATTTCAGACTGCACATTTGTAAACAATCATTGAGCTACACCACAACATCAGCCCATTGCAAAACATTCATTGTGTATTTTAAAACCAATCATTATTTCTGCACTGTTTTTAAGAACCATCTGTTCTTCTCAAATGATTTTTGCATTATGTCTATGGAGATTCTCAGTCATCCAGGTCATGGTTGTCCCAAAAGTACTTTTTCAAGAGCCAACTGGACTTTCTGGTTTTTCTTTGAAGACGTTTCGCTTCTCACCCAAGAAGCTTCTTCAAAATTGTATTCAAAGAAAAACCAGAAAATCCAGTTGCCTTTGAAAAAGCACTTTTGGGATTTCTGCATGATCTTTTATATGCTGGTTAGTCTGGAGTTCAGAGTGGTCATTCAGCTAATAATTGCTTATTCTAAATTGTCAACATCTGACTGCATAGAATGTCAGTCAATGAGGGGTCCTTCTGTCTCAAACTGGTTATCTGCTAAGTTTACTGATTCAGGGTTTCCAGTGTTTAGTTAATTAACAATAACTTTTCCCCTTTCCATTCTAGAAGAAGCAGAAATTTCTAATTTTTCTTGCCCCCAATAAAGGCAATCTGGGTATTTGTCCTCATGAATTTGTATACAATTGTCTGTTTTTGTCTGGTTTTGTTTTGCTTTATTTTAAATAATTTAAAGTATCGTATGAGGTGGTTTGAAGGCAAGTTCAAATTCTAATATAATAGTATTGCTATAATTTTTAAATATCTTTTATTGCTTTTAAAATAATGACAGCAAAAGGAAAAAAGCAAAGCACAAAAATACATTATCAAAAAATACACAAATGCTTGTAAAATAAATGAAACAAATGCAGCAAAAAGTATAATGTATAGAATATATGTTCTTAGAACAATAAAGTTACAATTCTATATAGAATGATCAAATGCAAACATGTAAGTGCGTGTGTGTGTCTGTATGCTTTTCAACCTACTGTATTTTGTATAAATTGCTCCCCTTTTTCCTTGCATTTACAAAAGAGGCACGGTAGCTTTCAGTGGCTTAAAATTGCAAGAAATTGGTACTTTAGATGTAGAAGTTAAAACACTTTTCCATTGTGTAGGTAATGTAGAAACCTCTAATTCTTTATTCTCGATGTCAAAGTGATTATTGATAACAAATATCTAAAGAAACTAATACATTAGTATGTGTTTTAGTTTTAAAAATTTAACCAGTTGTTCTAGTATCCCAGGTGTCTTAGAAACTTGAATGTTGCTGATCGAAACAATGTTGTTAACAGAAGTTGTACTGTAAATATTACCACTAAACTATATCTGATATTTGTCTATTACTATAATTTATGTTTAGTTTCATCCACATCATTAATTGATTAAAAGTCAATATTCCTGCTTCCATTCAATCTTTCCATATCAGCATCTTTCCCCCAATTTTTATTTTCTCCATAAAGTCAATTTTGCATAGAAAAAAGGATCAATTTTTTTATTCCATTCCATAGCTTTCTGATGTTTCCAGAAATATTAGAGTTCTATTGTATTAGATCCTAATACTGTCCATGCAATCAAAGGTACTATATACCTTTGTTGAAATATTAACACCAATTGTTGGCTTTTAGTGTTGAACATTTGACAGTAGGTAAGCCTGATTGCGTTCCAGATTTGGGAAACCAAATCCTCTTATTAACTGGTAACAGCATTTTCTGTAAAGATATTCTCAGAATTGAAGAACCAAATTAATATTTGCATCAACAGTGGAATAGTAGCATGAAGCAGGGACGTGCAGTCACTGGAGGCAGGGGAGGCGGGGCCTCACCAGTCAAGCGAGGAAAAGGAAAGAATTTTTAAAATAATTAAAAAGGCCAGGGTAGTTGCTGCCAGACTCCAAGTCACAGTGACTTTGAGTCTGCTTAGTGTTAACTGTAGGGGGAG